ATTTGAAATTCTTAATCTTTGATATTTAAAATAGATTTGATCTCTAATAACTAGGTTTGAATTTAGAGATAATGTTTAATCAACATATTAAACCTTATGTAAATAAGTAATATAACAGTTAAACACCATGTAGTAAAAAAAGCACACGGTGCCCAACTCTAGTTGGATACGGATATTACAAAACCGGGTTTAATTTCCTTATTTGATTTAGAGTTGCGAGGTTGAGTATTGTGTTATAGGTAAAAATTTCTCCTTGATGTTTCAAAATAGGTTTAAATTTCGTAAAAATTTATGATTGGTTGGTTAATATAGATCTTCATATAAGGAAATTAAAAAATAGTTTGGGAAATATATACATCCGTGCTCTAACCCTACTAACAATAATTAAATAAAACCAATTTACAGGGTCTTTACTTCATTAATTTCAGCCTCTGGAAATTCTTTCTTAACAAAATAATTAAATTTTCTTCTTGGGTCTAAAGCAGTGCACAACATTACAGTTGCATTTGTTTTGGAATAGTATAGAATGAGTTTTTCTTTCACCACTATAGCAGCTGTGAAGAGTGATAATCCTAAAATTGAGATTATTTAAATTAATAAATCCAAAGCTAAAAATTTATTTAAAGACTAACTTACTATTTCTTCATTTGAAGCCACATCTTCGATATGGTTGAGGATAATATTGAAAAGAGGGATAATCCAGGAAGCCATGCTATTCATGCTAGATGACATTTTAATTGTAAGGTCTTTAAACGGTTCGAGGAATTTAACAATTTTATCCAAAGTAGCCTATTGATTATGAGAAATAGCATATTGATTAAGATCATCATAAGAGCCAGCAAGAGTATTTAATGCCTATAATTTATATTTAGAATTTGTATTTTATTTTAGAATGCCAAAATATTTTTAATAACGTTCTTATCCAAATTATATCTTCATGGGCATGCGATATCATGTGAGTATACAGAACTATACAGAATATGGCATGAAAAAATATGCTTTAACATGTAATAAGGCGTAAATTCTATGTAATAGCATGCTTTTTCTTATGCAATTTTTTATAGTTATTGTATGGGTATGAATGAATAACCCAGTTACATGCAGGTTCATATTCTATGCTGAAGGCACGAGATTTAAATATGAACCCATGTATATAACTGGGTTATTCATATACACATATAATAACTATCTTATTGCATGGTGTCTGACGTAACAATCCTGTGCCAATAAGTAAATGAAAAAAGCATGGTTTGTCATATAGAACCTGTACAATAACTATATAGTTATGGGATCCGATCAACTCACTTCATAGACACTACATTTACCAACAATTATTCACTGACAAGTTCATTTTACCTATAACTTATTTACTGAAGCTCATTTCACAGGCAAAGTAATTCTGACCATTATCATTACAATCAGATAGAATTAGAGTTAAATTAACTATGAGTTCGATGAAATAGACTGTCAATAAAATGAACTTGCTGATGAATAATTGTCAGTGAAAAGTGATGTCTACGAAGTGATTGTCAGTAAAATAATATAGACCCATATAAAAATTTCTTATAAGGTATGAAAATTAAGAGTATAAAACTTACTGGTTTAAGAAATAACTTATTTTTAATCATGTTATACATAAAGTTCCAGCAGGTTGGGCAATCTAAGATGGGTTTATGAAACTTAATACAGCATGCACCACATGCATTCTTAAGAAGCTCAAGGCATTGAAATGATGCATGAATACTAGAGCAAAGCTTCTGAATCTTAATTGCTTCTTTGTTAATACAGTAATAAAATTATTTTAAAAAAAATTAGTTCTAAGAGTTTTTATACTAATACCTTACAAACATCTTCTTTTATTTGGTCTAGAGCTGCTTGTGCAGCCAAATTCAGAATATGGTCAAAGCATCAAAACCGAAGTTGTTTCAAATTCCATTCAATAGCCTTTTCTTCTTTCAACTTAATCGCCAATTCATGAACAAAAGTGCTGTTGTTTGCAGCATTATCTAAGGTTATAGCATTAAGCTGTTAAAAAAAAAAATTTTAACTTATTTTGTAAGAGATTTATAATACATATAAATAGTACAAAACTAAGTTTTTTATTTTATTGAAATTCAATTATTTTATCGCTCTTTTCAAATTACTGTATCTACTGGTTTTCATACATTATGCTGTAAATCAGAAATCTAGAATAAATGCCAATACATGATTGGGCAAAAATTATTTTTAACCAATCACAAATTTGCATTTATTCTAGATTTCTGATTTCCAGTGCGATATATAAAAATCAGTAGACACAGTAATTTGAAAAGCGCTATAATTCTAAAACTCCATAAATATTATATTAATCTATTACTATATAGTACTGCCTATAGATAGTTGTTCAATTTCTGATAGTCATTTCTCTTATCACAATTTACCCAACACCATGTAGGGTTAGGGTTAGCTAGTGATGTGCCGCATATAGGCTATATGTACTGTATGCTAAAATTTTTGCCAATCACTTGTTCCAGCCAAACAGATGCCAGAAAAGAACTATACGTACAGTACGTACTGTACGCTAAAATTTTTAGGTATCATATAAATGGCACATCACTAGGGTTAGCTTTTGATTAGTTGAAAGTATATGTTGTTAATAAATTGTTATTTGCGTGATGTGGCTGTAAAGGAAATAGCCTTTGGGAAAATGAGACGTAACCTCATACAGTATATATTCCTTTCAAAAAATTATCCCAATACTAATCATGTATATAGCCTAAATCAATGCTCTCTTTAATATGTCTCTTGTATAATATCCCTTCATATGATACTTGGGATATTATTTAATTATCTTAGTATTCTTAAAAAAGACTGAAGTGCAATGCTTATTCAGTATCATATGATTCACAGACATTAATTTCTGTGAAATCACATGGTAGCAAATCAACTAGTACTAAATTTAATTAACCAATATGAAAAATTAAAGAAATATTTTAAAAAATAAAAACCTTTGATGCGATTCCATAGTCTTCCATCACCTTAAAGAATCTATTAGAAATATTTGTTCCATCATGTTTTCCACTTAGCAAACTGAAGTCAAGTAGTGTTTTCTGAAGGGTCCAGCATTCGTCTATATAATGAGCTGTAACAGATACAAAGGCCTTATTATTCGGAGATGTCCAGATGTCTGAAGTGAAAGAAAGCTTAGAACTAATAGCAGAAAGATAAGCCTATAATGGTTGTAAAATAGTAAATATATATATAATCAAATTATTATAAAGCTATAAAAGCTAAAAATTTGTGCGCAGGTCTTATGTGACAACTCGTGCTTTTTTCATTTACTTATTGGCATGGGATTGTTATATCAGGCACTGTGCAATAAAAATAGTTATTATATTAATATATTGAATAACCCAGTTACTGTATATACATTGATTCATATTTAAAATTCAGCACAGAATACGAACTGTGTGTAACTAGATTATTCACTACATACCATATATTATAAATTATTTTATACAGTATATAGAAATTTTAAAAAAAGTTTTATAATGAATATACATGTAATTTCAATTAGACTTCTAAACAAAAAATTTTTGAAAATTTTAAATTGCATATTATCGCTCTTTTCAAATTACTGTGTTTGCTGATTTTCATACATTATGCTAGAAATCAGAAATCTAGAATAAATGCCAATACGTGATTCACAAAAAATTATTTTTAACAAATCACAAATTTGCATTTATTCTAGATTTCTGATTTCCAGTGCGATGTATAAAAATCAGTAGACACAGTAATTTGAAAAGCGCTATAAATGTTTAATATAACTAAGGTAATAACAGAGATACAAGTATATATTAATATTATTCAATTAAAGTTTTTGAATAAAACCAGGTATAATTTACTGATAATTTATTTCACCAACAATATATCTCTGGCCAATACTAACTATAAACCAGGCTAACACTAACTTAAATAAAGCTAATGTTGTTGGTGAAATGGCTGTTGATGTTTAAGATGCTGTAGATAATAAATGGCATAAACATAAATGCGAAACTTGCCTTCAAGTTCTTTTTTTCTAAGTTATAAAGAGATACAATTGAATTCTTTATTGCATCAGATTTGACTAATTGTGCCCTAGGATTTAAATACTGAATAATTTCAACTAACTCAGGGTCTTCGATTATAAGCAACAGGCGTTGACGATTAATGATCCAAGTGGTAAACATATTACGAAGCTTTACATTATTGACATTAGTTATCATAGTATAAGAGTCTTTGAAATGCTAAAGTAAGTTGTTTTTTATTAATTTTGTCTTAAAATTAAAAAAACAAGTCATAACTTACTCCTCCAAATATTTTATCGAGAGTACCATGTTCGTCTTGAACCTTCTGTTTTTTTTTTATATTTCCTTGTCATAACATATTGTGACCAGTAAAAGCTTTCTAAATGGTGCCATAGTGGTTTTGTTGATCCCCCATCTTCACAAGAAAATTCCTTATGCTGGCATTTCGGTATGGTACATTTTGCTGTTTTCCGATCTTTTTTCTATACAACTTTTTTAAAGAAATTTTACACCTCACTCCTATTGCTTTACTTGCTAAAGATATCATTATGATTATTATTATCATCATGGTCAACACAGTCATTATAATAGTTATTATCATGATCATTACCATAGTTATTATCATGGTCATTATCGTGGTTATTATTGTGATCATTATTGCGGTCATTATTGTAGTCATTATTGTAGCCATCATCATAGATATTTTCAGGTTTATTATTGTTGTATTCTATATTTATAAACTTAAGTAGCCAACAATAAGCACAAGACAGTTTATAAAAATAATTTCTACAAGCAATTTCTTTAAGAATCATTGCTTATATATTACCAATCGAAAACCATCACATTGTATGACACATTTACATTAGGCCAGGCCGATTACATTCTATATTTTATATTACCTCACCTCTTTTTTAGTAAAAATAAATAAATAAATAAAATAAAAATAAAATAAAGATGGGCAAAAAATATCTATATATGCAGCATGCTCCAATCTTTCTCCAGAAGGTAGAGAGGGATAATGTAAAACAGAATTTAATTGATTTGGCCTTACTCTGAATTACGCTGGCAGATAACTTATACCCAGTAGTAATTTTTTATTGAGATTAGCAATTAAGAAGCGAGTAATTAGCCAAGTAGACCAGAATGACAATAACATTCCACAAAAGTAGTTGAGATTGCAGCAAACAAGCTGTGAAAAAAAAAGATTGATTCAAATAAGTCTGTTCATTGCCGCCTAATTTCATACTTAATTCTGCCAAGATTCCTTTATGCTTGGCATATGTTGTTAACATGAGTTAGTTGCATTTATATTCGATATTCCTATAGTGATGACTAGTTTGAAAGAGCAGTGCATAATGAATGTGTAGCTCCAGCAACTACTGGTTCAGGTTTCTAATGAGCATAGAGATTCTAAAAGGAAATAATTATGACTATACTTTATGATAGAAACGAGATTCTTCATTAAAATTAATTTATTCAATTTGTTTAATATGAAAGAGGGCGCTTTCTGGAACTTACTACATTTCATCAGAGGCATCACGCTATCGTACCAGTATGCATGCTGCTTCATTAACAATCATGATACTAATTTATTCAAATACTCAACTTTATCCAAAAAGAAAAAAGCATAAAATTAATTTATTACATACATATACACCATTCATTGCTATTTAAGGTGGTTACATTGTTTTTCAACCAGATAAGCCTGTTAATTAATAATAATAAATAGATCTAGGTACAGTCGATACTATCTAATTGCATGTTACCTGTTGGAGACTCTTTTTATACATATAGACAATATGGTTGATACTGTCTAATTGCATATACTCTCCAAATACATAAAAAATTTCGATCTTTAATTATTGTTGCGGCTGAAGCTGAAAATGGCTGAAGCTGGAAATTTTAAATATTTTAATATGAAATTTTCAAAATTTTTTGGGATGCATTTTTTTAGCTCTTTTTTCATAGTTAGATTAGGATTTAGGATTAGTTTTGATAATAAAAGAGTATAAGTGGATTTTGACAGGGTTTATATTTTTAAATCGGAGTCCCTGATTTCCAGCTTCAGCCGTTTCCAGCATCAGCCATGACAATTATTAATGCAAAATAGTTCTTATGACTTAAATGCATATATTGCCTATATGCATAAAAGAGTCTCTGATAGATAGCATGCAATTAGACAGTATTGACTGTATACGCATTAAGTCATAAGAACCATTTTTGTGTTAATAATTAAAAGGCAAAATTTTTTATATATTAGAGAGTATATGCAATTAGATGGTTTACAATTAGTATCAACTATATGATTTAGTTACTGTAAGCTAGTTTTGCATGACAGCTATCTTATTAATTGCTGTCTTCTAAATCTAATCAGATTGTTTCTGGTATATACAGTATCTACCTAATGTTAACCATCCTTTTCAATTTGTGACTTTCTGTTAACATAAATTAAGCAACATATGCAATTATATAATGATAGATAGACTAGAATCCTGAATATATATGCATTTATCTGGAGTTCCATTCAGTAAAATAGGATACCATAAAAAATATATTGGGGCAATTGCATAGTTTAAACTTTGGGAACTCGAGACTGCTAAAAAAAATATATTGTGAGAAAAAATAACTATAGTGTATCACAATGCTACAGTAGTTGTCATTTCGCCATATACAAGTATGCATCTAAATATATGCACATCTGAATATATGTATTAACAAAATTAGTGTAGTTTCTACGTATTGTGTTAAAAAAAAGCATATAAATTCAAAGTTATCAGATTTATGATAGTTCTATACTTATCATAAATATAAGCATTGAATTTCACTCTGATTTTTAATATCTTTAAAGTAATAAAAGTATGTCCTGATTTAGTAGTAAATATAGTATTATAAGGCCATACAAGCTTAATAAATTGGTTCTTATAACATAAAAATTTTAAAAGTGACCCAGCAACCCAGCTTTTAATTTTATTTTCAAAAAATTTTATATATAAAAAACATATAAAATTTTTTATAGATTTTTTTAAAAAACTCTCCTGGATAGTAAGTTTACTTGAAATTTTTTTTTTGAGTTTTGTAAATTTTAACCCAGCCGGGTTATGAGAACCGATTTATTAAGTTTGTATGGCCTAATGTTATAATATACTAAATATATCAAATAAAATCACTTTATAAAATTAGATTAATCAAAACACAATAGAAGATGAGAATTTGCAATCTTTCTTATTATCTCAGCCATTCGATGAATCATTTGCAAGCTCTAAGAAGCAAAGTTGGGCCTGGAAATATTTCAGAAGAGAAAAGAATAATATTGAAATTAAATTTGGAATTTGTAATGTAACTGACAAATTGGGTAAAATATATAATGCCCGATTAAAAATTTTAAATGGATCAACAAAAAGTTTAATTTTTCATCTTTTAAAGATTCATGATATTATGCAGAATAACCCTGGACAAGATAATACTGATAAATAATTTTTAATTATATAAATATTAAACATATATTTGTAAATTTGTTTTTTTTTTAATGTTATATTTTTAAAGAAATTAGCAATAAATAAATAAATAAAATTTTGTTAAAAAAAGTTTTTAAATTAATATATTTGTCAAAGAATTTATAGTATTTAAATTACAAATGTAAGTCTACTAATAATTAATAATTAATTAAGAAATTTGAATTCTGAAGTAGCTATCCGAACTAACATCTAGAGCATAACCTTGTGTATTTTAATTATAATACTAATTAAACTCAAACAAGTTTGCAAACTTCGGACCAAACTTCAAATCAAACTGAACTTAAAAAATTAGTTTGAAATCAAACTTGAACCAAACATAATTTTCAAAAAAGTTTGAGTTTGAGTTTGATTTGAAAATCAAACTGAACTCAAACTTAAGTAAAGTTTGATTTGGTTCAGTTCGATAGGAACACTATAAATAGAAGATTATATTTTAGATTTTTATAAACATGTATTTTATAAATATAATATAAATAAAAGATTTAATTAGTTTATAAAAGGATTGTTTTTAAATATTAAAGAAAAATTAAAAATATTTATTTAAATAATAAAATTAAAAGATTATAATTAATTAGAAAAATATTATAGCAAAAAAAGTTCAGAAATTAAAAATAAATTGAGATTTAAGAATAGATAACTAATTTTTTTTATAAGTTTGCTTACTATTTTAAGTTTAGCTTAAACAACTATAAAAAATATTATAGTTTTTTCTATATATTAAATTTGACTATTAATAACTTAGTCTTTATATAAATATATATTATTTTAAAGTTTATTATTTAAATATATTAAAACTTAACTAGCAAGACTGCTTTGCAAGTTAGTAATAAATGCAAAACTAGGAGCAGAATAAAAAGAAACAAGAGCAGTTAAATGTCTAGAGCCAGAAGCAAAAATTACAATTTATAATTAGACTTATTTTTGAAAAAGGCTAAAGATAACTAAGGAAATATACTATACAATAAGAAAAAGTGTATTTATTAAGTACATAATAGATAAACCTCTAACTTTAGAAGAACTTAACAGAAGAAAACCAGATATATACATAACAGTGAAATGCCAAGTTTGTTAAAATAAAGTAAAAGAGACATAAGCACACTTGGCAGCATGCAAGGAGCAAAAAAATCTTTGAAAAAGAATCCAAAAAGTAAACATTGCAACAGTATAAAAGAAACTAAAAGAAGAAGAAAAAATATAGATTCTCTTATATGTATTATATATAGCACTCTTTGAAAAAACAGAGACAGAGGAAGTTAAAATAAGAGAGGCACTAATAAAAGGCTTAATCTCAAATAAAACATAAGACAAACTAGCAGAGCTTTTAAACACAAGATCAAGACAACAGTTTGCAAATACAGTAGCAATAACAGCCTAAAACACATTTTATAAACAAGTATAAAGAATATATTATAAAAAAATTATCAAATAAAAGAAAAAAATTAGATTACAGGTAAAATTAAAAAAAAAAAGGTGAAAAGCTAAAGGAACCAAGAAAATAAGAAAAGGCAAATCAGGAAAAAATAAAAGAAAAAAAAAGAAATAAAAGAAAAAGAAAAGCAAGTTGAGAAAAAAATAATAAAAACAATGTTGGGGCTTGTCATAGAAGAAAGAAGACCTTTCTATTATGGATTTTAAGTAGTCAAACAAGCAGTTTATTTTTACTCAAAGTAATGTGACAGGTTGCACTTAGATATTATTAAGATGACTGGGTGATGTTGGACTTAGATATTAGAGATATTTATGTAGTTATAAATATAATTTTAAAAGCTTAATAAAGTACTAGCATGACTACTTATATGATAAAAAAAATATATATTAAAACTTAAAATATATTATTAATAAATTAAAAAAGTTTATACTATTAATAAAAAATTTTTTACTATATTTGTTTTAAAATAATAATATAAGATATAATTTAAATTTTGGTTTAAATTAAGTTTAAATTAAGCATAATTTGGATTAAAAGTTTAATTTATATTCTAATATATTATTTTAAGATAATATTAAAACAAAATTTTATTATTTAATTAAATTATATAATTAGTTTATATTAAAACTATATTTGTTTTAAAATAATAATATAAGATATAATTTAAATTTTGGTTTAAATTAAGTTTAAATTAAGCATAATTTGGATTAAAAGTTTAATTTATATTCTAATATATTATTTTAAGATAATATTAAAACAAAATTTTATTATTTAATTAAATTATATAATTAGTTTGTATTAAAACTATTAAAGTAATAAATTTTTATAATGAATAATTTAATATAATAAAATATTTAACAAATATTTCTTAAACTATCCATTTTAGTAAGCAAATTTGTCTGCAAAATAATTTTAAAAAAACTAACCTTTCTTAAAATTTTTTATAAAAATACTAACCAGAATTGGCAAGAATAATTTCAAGAAATGCAAGTTAGATGATAATTTAGAAAATACATTATGGCATATGCTGTGCATTGTAAATGAAGAGTACAAATTAAAGTTATGTGCTATATGTTTTGCCAATGTTGCAAAATATTTTATTAGAACTAAACTTCTAAGTCATTTTGTAAAGTAGTTTTAAAACACCAAGGTCTGAACAAAATTTAATTACTATGTAATATAGGTACTTATATATAATAAAATTTCTATATAGAGAACCAAGTTTATGATGGCCAGACTCAACATACTTAGCAGAATATGGCACTCTTCACAGCTGTGAGAGCCATGCATATAGTGATCAAATTTACAAAGAAATCTTTTATTTCTTTAAATTCTATTGAATCATTACACTTCAAGTAAACATCACAAGACCTATTACACAATACATTAGTTGATCCAGACTTATACTATAATAAATAGTTAGCCCATCAAGACCTACCTTTACTTCCACATCCACAAATTCTTTCTTCCTTTCTTGAACATATACATTCTTACAATTATACACTACTTAATCTTTACAACTTTACACTAGCAATATCAATTAAACTAGACTACAATGAGTGTTTAATATACTTATCAAATGAACCAAAACCTCTATCTGACTACTTCATTTCACACTAATCTGGTTATAGATTCTACCTATCAATACCCATTCTTTCAAAATATTTTCCAATACTAATAACATACAATATATCAAATCTGTTCTTGAAGATAATGCTATAAATTACACTTATTCACAACTAGTCAAAACTGTTCTATCTGGCCATAATGATACTGTTATTGTCAATGAACACTATGGCTCTATGCAACTGCATACATGCTACAATAAATTCCTAACTTATAACCATCTTCTATTACTTTCATATTCACAAACAATTATTTCTTTCTTACAATATATTTATAGTTTTAATTACTTACCAAGCAATGCTTGTAACTATACCTTAACTATTTCTATTAAAAATGATTATAGTGAATCTCATGTTTACCTTCTATCTGAACCCAAACCTCTTCCTAATTATTTTATTCCACCACTTTAAGCTATTTGGCATTATCCAAACATCTTACTAAAATTAGATACAACAGAAGATGATTCTCTTAACTTAACAAATCTATATTCAACAATATTTATATTAAACTTACTGTCTTTTACACCTTCAATACCATCACAACAACCTTTATCTATTTCTACTTCTGCATTATTATTTTCAACATCACTACCACTTCCAACACAAACCACTATACTTATGCAAAACTCACGTAACTTTCATTTAAACATTGCTATATATAATATTAGAGGATTTAATACAATTACAAAAAAAGAAGCTTGGCAAAATTACTGCCTTTGTAATAATATCATCATTGCCTGTATCACTGAAACAAAAATTGCTAACACTACTAACCTCCACTTTTGTAATAATAATCAGTTTATATACTTTTGGACAAATTTTGTAAATTCTGCTAAAGATGCTGCCATTATGATTCGCAATTACCTTCAACCACATATACACAACTGTTAAACACATTATGAAAGAGCAATAGCCTTAGACCTTTTCTTTAAAAGTGAAGTTTAACTCTGCATTATAGCAGTTTACCTCTCTTTTATTGACATACTTCGACATAATAAAATACAAAAAACAGTTATTTTATGAATCCAACAAGTCTATCAACTAAATCTTCATCCAATTATTCTTGGTAACTTCAATACATATAATAATATTTGTAGCTCATCATCAAAATTTCAACTCACTAACTATCTTTATCAAGCCAACATATATGATCTTGGTGTACATGTTGATAACAAACACTTTACATAGTCAAACAATACTAGTCAAAGTCGCATTGACTATATATAGACAGATTCATTTAATATACAGTTCTTTCTTCTTACAATCATAATGATAGTAACAACTCTACACTAAATAACCACTCTATTATTCTTTCTTCATGGTCCTTTACTAATGCATTTAGTAAACCTCATACTATCAAACTGGTATTAGTTGCAGAATCTTTAATTACAATACTATGTCATCAGAAAAATAAACAGAATTTTTTGACTTCTTTCTCAAAAACTTAACTCACACAACACTTCACTTGATTGCAACACTAATAAAGCATAGAAACTACTTGGCATAAAATCGAATACTCAATTATTTATACTACTATACACTCAATTTCTAATAAAAAATCTTGTAAATACAGTTATAATCACAAATATTCACCTTATAGTACTACACTTTACCTATTACTTAAAAAACTCAGACACTTAATTAAAATTGTTAAATATATGAATAACAATTTAAATATTAACACAATTAATTCTAAGATTAAAAATATAAATACAAGATCTAATTGTGATCTTCAAATGTTATCCTCTAACCAACAGCCAGAACTCAAACAATGGATTCAGCATGCTTAAGATATTTGAAAACAGCTCTACCATGCATGCCATTTGAAAAACTTTTTGCTATTTTGACAACTAATTCAACAAGCTACTGAAAAAAGATATAAAACACTCTCTACACATTCCAAAC